TGTTTTTTCGAAGCTTATAATATACCAATGAACATGAATGGGTCCAGTGTAAAAACCTTCAGCATGAAGGCCTCTAACTTAGTGATCTCCCGACTGTTTATCAATATATTTGTATCCCCGTTACTAGCATTTTGCCTTATGTGACCTCGCACATTCAAGTGAGGGCTAATTATTTGGCAAGGCCTATGCCCTTCCTGTTCATTTAAAGCAGAAACATCATCACATTGTAGTGCAAGTTACAACAATATAGAGGTCTACTATTAACAAGCTGATTTAAAAGTTCAGCTGAATTCAATTTTTACCTTTCCCCAAAAACCAGATACTTTATCATACCAATAGTATCCTGGTTTTATCTTTTTTGGTGGGTTTCGGCAACTTTGCAATCGAACCAGCTCTTCCTGCGATAGAGGTTCGTCGTTCACAAAAATAAGATTGCCTGGCAGTTGATTTGCTTGGCAAGATATCTCGGCTTTCATTATCAGTTCAACTTCCGATTTAGTGAGAAGCCGCTTGAGCATCCTAGAACACTTGCCCAGCTTCCTTCGCCTTGACTCGTCAATTTCAAAACTAATGCAACTGACACATTTTCTTCCTTCAGGCATTGACCCCATTGCTCTCAGCACACAATTGTAGCAATACTTAGCACCACAAACAATGCAAACCTCCTTCTCCGTGAGTTTGTTTCCTTTTCCACATCGATAGCACGACCCTTTCTTCCCATTTCTCTCAACTGTTGGCCTCACTCGCACATCTTCATCCCCATCAGAAAGATCAGACTCTTCTTCCTGAACAATGTCATTCGAGTCAGGATCACGGAACGTCACAGCTGATGGTCTTTTGACATGGTGAGGAATTTCTACCGCATCAGCTTCCTCTCTACCAGAAAAAACCTCAGAGGAAAGACTCCGCGAACTCAAACCAGACTCTGATGAACCCCAGTCACCGGGGCTCATATAATTCTGAAAACCTTGAGCTTCTTGACCATCATCAAGCAATTCAAGCACACCCTTCGAACTTCCAGACAGATTGCCAGAAAACCCCAAATCCCCAGAGCTTTCGACTTTATCTGATAAAGTCGGCACACCCTTTTCACCTTTGCTAATTTCCAATTCAGCAGGAGTTACTGAATCGGAAGAAACAATTTCCTTTCCAAACTTTGCTTCACTTGCAAGTTTCGACTCTTTTTTCGGTTTCTTGTTAGATTTCACAATCGGTTGAATAACAGGGAGGGACGAATTGTTCAAGAGAGAGCCTGAAGAAACCGGAGCAGCAGTTGGGATGTGGTGAATATCAACCGGAACTGCATTTGGGATAACATAACCTACCGGAGGACCCTTGTATTCATCGGCAAACGAAAACTCCAACTCCGTGCTAAAATCTTCGCGGTCGACGCCGCCGCCCCCACCAGAAGCGGCCATAGCAGAACTCAATTTTCTCATCACATACGCCATACCAGAGGTAAAAAAAATCACCAAAAAACCAGCAATTCCAACAACATAACAAAAAAATCAAAAACCTACCATCTTAACCCTTTAATTCGAAAACCCACGAAGCCAAACGCGGAATAAACAAAACCCAGGAAGCAAAATTCAAAATTTTCACAAACCCATCAAAGAAAAGGTCTGGAAATTTGAGGTAAAACCCTCCAACAACCTCCTCACCCTGCCCAAAACAGAGAAGCAATATAACAAAAAACAAAGAAACTCTCCGATGGAAGTCGCAAGTATAGAGATGCAGACTTGGAGGAAGACTTGTTCGTTGACTTGCCATTTTTCTCCACGCGGTGATGTCACGGATGCCACGAAATTGCTAAGAATTTCTCACAGAAACAGCGAGAGAAGCAAATCGCCACACTCCGCAACAACTAATGGAAGGCCGAGTCTTCAAACTGAGCGGGTGTGGTTCTCTGCAGTTACATACACACAAGTAACTCTAGTCCTCCCTTGTTTTCGTAGAAAACGACGTCTTTCTAGTTGTGGAAGGGGTATTTTCGCCCCTCTAATATGTCCGTACGATCACTTTCTGTCCCTTATTGGTGCATTGGAACGATGGAATAATTATTGACGCAGTCAGCTCCGGCAGAGCAGCAATTTTGTCGGTCAACTTAGAAACGCGTACCTGTTTAATGTACTAAATTTTCGTTTTACTGACTAATTTAACTTTATAACAAATATCATTAAGTAATATCTAGTTGTTAATATTTTTTTTATAATGGTTGGGCTAAAAGCTAAATATTTTAGTCCAAAAAATTTAGCTTTTAGTATAGAAACCGTTTTTCTGCTCCAACCGTTCTAGCCTAAAATTTTAGTCTGGGATTATTAAAGAATGAACTTAGACTATTTTTTGTTAAATTAAATTTAAAAAAATAATAATAAATATGTAGATTATCGTAAATTAATTTTATGAACATTTTAATCTAAAAAAAATTTTAATTCCGATAAATATTAGGTGAAATCCACTCTGATTTCTGGGCTAGATTTTGGAGGGAATTTGGCCTTGGTTTAGCATTTAGCATTTAGCCCAAATTTTCCCCTTGGGTTGGAGTGGGTTTGAGAGGAAATTTTGATGGGTAATTTGGCTTTTAGCCCACCATTGGAGTTGGTCTTAGGAATTAGGAAGAACAATTATTTTTATGAAAAAAAGAAATATATATTTTGGGTTGTTACGCTGTAAAGAAAAGCAATATCTTCAAAGAGCTAGTTTTGCTTTTTGCTGTTTTGGAACCTTGATTTTGACAAAAAGAACTTTTTTTTCAATTACCAATCGCAATTTTAACTCTAGCTTTTTCCAAAAGCTACTTTTTAAAATAATTTTTCAGCAATTGCAAACCAAATCGCAGTACACCAAGAAAGGAATGTACGATTTGTGGTTTAATAAAGGAGACAAACAAAAAGGGTTAGAGATCACTCAATAAATTTAATACCTAAAATTCCCAACAAAATTAATAATGTGGTTTAATAATTAAGCCGTTTGTTGAATTAATCTTGTAATAATCAGTCATAGGAGGAGAGGACAGCATCCAGAAATTTTTTTTGGACTCTCAAAGTTTTCAATTGGTCGGTGGAGAGTCAAGAAAATCTATAGATTATCTAGTGGGAATTTGAATAGAGAGCTTCTAATGCACCTGAAAGTTTGATAACTCACTTAACACTTGAAACAACATTTTTGCGGTGTTAAAAGTTCATGCAAAGTTTTAACGAGGTCATACCATTATTACATCCTTTGATTCTTACACATTCTTCACCTTTTTAATGAATATTATTGTATCATGCAAGCACCTAGAACAAAATTTTGAAGGCAACCGGGTAGATAAGCACACTTCAGTTTCTCTCGACTTATAAAATCTAAATCTGCCTAGAGTTAGTGGGCTCTTAAGGTTTTTTCTCTTGTTCAATATATTTATCGCGAGGTTTGCTCACCCGTACTCATGGGTTGTGCGTAGTTTGCATATGACACAGGTAGATAGTGTATTGACAACGTATCTCATCATTTTTATAGCACATAGATAGTGCGTCGTCATTATAATGTCAATAAAATAGTGATATGTCGTCAATACGAATCATGTGCAAACATGCGTACATCACAAATGCGTAGGTGACCATTTCTATTTTTTTTTATTTTTTAACAAACGATAGTATCTGCACTAAGGGATAAGGGCGTGGGCTAAGTTTTACAATGGGCAAACCATTTCTGTTTTGGGTAATGCTAGAGAGACCAATTATTTAGAATAAATTTTGGAAATCATATGACGTAACTGTTGATAATTGCATTATTACAAAAACATTAATTAATGAGTTTATTTCTTATTTGTGACATATCATATAATTTACAAATACGGTTTGAAAATTGATTTACTTAGCATTACTCTTTTATTTTTATCGGTACATGCAAGAGATGTTTTTTCCATTGAGTTTGGATTTGAGTGCATGCATGGATGCTTTTATCATGCGCATTCAAGATTATGTTCTAGTTATAGCCTAAAAGTCCAATCCATCATCTTTAAAGCAGGCCCCAATAGCCCAACATCTCTTGCTCCTCTTGGTCTAAAATAAGTCCGAACACCATCTGATTCTTTAGTACTATGCCTGACAATTTCTTATACGATTCATTAACATGACATAAAAATGATACAAAAATAATAAATTTCGGGTCACCATGATAACTAATTGGTTATTATCAAGTCACCCGTCCTTAATAACGGTTTCTTAACAGGGTTACACTCGAGTAACTCGTTTCAACCAGTTAAGATGTTTGATATTTTTAAACTACTAAAAAAAACCTTACAAGGTACCGCAATAACCATAGTACTTAATCTCACATAAGAGATTAAAAATTTCCAATCACATTAAAAATATGAAGTAATTTAAAAATAACAAAGCACATTAAAATTTCATAATAATTCATTACAAGTATGAAAAATGTGAAAAAAAATATGCAAACGCTTGTCATCGCATTCTGTACGCTTTGACGACAAGTATATCATAGTTTGAATTTTAAAAACCTACAAACCCTATGAATAGTGTTTTTAGGGGATTTCAAAATAATGTACAAGTTAAAAAAGGTGAAAGAAAATATAAACGCTCATGAGTGCATCCTCTACACTTAGACAATAGTTACATCGTCGTTTAGATTTTTAAAATCCTTTGAACCCTCCTAGCTACACCATCGCTCAGACAATGGCTCCACAACCTTGAAAAAAAAAACTTCCTTCATTTTGCATATCCTTAAATATTTGATATTTGTAGTACTAATGTTTTTTTCACTAGCTTCTTATTTTGGGGTATGTAATAATTGAAGGACAAATATATTTTTATGTTTTGAAATAAGATTTATGTGACAATGTGATATGTAGTCATGACTTTTGAAATGAGCACCAATCAAGGACTTGTTAATTCAATTTGCTGGCTAGCTTTTGGTAGCTTATAATTCAAGTCAAGAGATTGAATTTACAAATGTAAATACATGATTAATGGTACACTTACAAACGTAAATACATTTACTCTGTAATCATACACGTGTATATATATAGTAATATCTGGCCAAATTAATAACAGATCGAAAAAGCCCTATAATTGTGGCAACAAAGCTAGCTAACTAATCTGCCAGAACAATATGCTAAGGAGTTTACAGTCGGTCCATCTGCATGTGCTTTCATAAAACTGCATTAGGCCATGCAAATAATACATAGCCTTTGGGACCTTATATATGCTGGTTTTTTTTTTGGCATGAGCGATATCTACATATTATATCAGACTCTCACATTCATAGTATCTTGCATTTACATGCAAAACCTCTTTTTCCAAGGCTTCGTTTGAAAAATCTGGTGGTCCGCCTGGTCTGGACGGTGCCCTCCCGCTTAATTCATCTAGACGTTCTGGCGCTTTGTCCGCGAGACTACCACCAGAACAGACTGCGCGTGTACTACACGCTCGTTGAAGGACCGTCGGGTTAGAGTAAACTCTACGATATTTTCTTCCCAAGACTCTCCGGATTTGTCAATAGTGGAGCCGAGCGGCTTCCTGCCTTATTGAAGCGTCCTTCACCAACGCCCGTATTTGCCTCAAGTCCGGAGCGTCCTCGGACACGCGCCACACCTTTACGGACCGGTCAAGGCTGCCACTGTATAACACCCAACCCTGACCTGCCTTGTTCTCGGAGCCGTGATCTTCCACCACGGTTAAGCATTTGACGGGTCCTGTGTGGCCTGTCAAGACAGACAAGCAGGTGTGCGCCCCACCTTCTTCCCTCCTCCATATGCAAATATTCTTGTCCGCTGATCCGCTGAAAACCAAGTTTCCCGCTGAGGACAAGCACAGCACGGCAAGTTTATGGCCGCGCAAAACTCCGCCATGGGACAAGTGCTTCGCGCGATCCCAATAATTGACCAACCCATCGGATGACCCACAATAGACAATCGCGGCCTCCTTGTTCACTGCCAATGCCGTCACCGCGTTCTCTTGCTTCAACAACGTCTGAACCAACACATGCGAAGTTCCCTTCCCTTGCAACTCCCTCCTCCACACCTTCACAGTCCCGTCCGCCGAGCCGGTGAACACCAATGACTCGAAACCCACGACAACACTGTTTACTGCGTCCTCGTGAGCTGCGACCGACTCCAAGCATTTGGAATCGGCAATTCTCCAAACCTTGAAAGACTTATCCCACGACCCTGAATAAAGAAGCCCTTGTTCTTCGTTCATGCTCAAGCAAGACACCGCATCGAAGTGTCTGATTCGAACAACGCTGCGGTGTCTCCGGACCTCCACGTAGTTTTTCGGCTTCATGGAACTCCGAATAAAATCTTTCATAGTTGGCAAGCTCCCCACCCGTTTGTAATTGCTTGGATTTTTCTCGGAAAACTTCCAGACTCGGATCTTACCATCCTGATGACCGGTGAATATCCTCTCGCCGGAAATCACGATGGCTTTGATCAACCCGCTCTTCGATTTGAAACCCGTAAAATCCTTCAAGTTCTTCCAGACACGAATGTTCCTGCTATCCGACCCGGTATAGAGCAAGTCTCCTTTGACAGCCAGCGAGTATATGTGGCCTTCTTCCCGGACTAATGATCCAATGAGTCCGTTTAAAGGGAAATTCTCGTCCAGCGGATTCAAGGACGACGGCGTTATCCACGGGGACTTATTGTAGGGTGACGCCGTCGCTGGGTTCCATGGGGACATGACATAGGGTGAACCCTCGGTGCTGCTGCCGCCTTGGGTACTATTGCCGTAGTACCGAGGACTTGTCGCCGAGGCACTGCTACGCCGTGTTGAGTAATCATTCTGGTGGCTGCTGTCGTTATTGTTGGTCTCGTTGGTGCTTGTCGGAGACGTCAAGGATGGGTCGGAGGAATGCAAAAGGGCTCCGAATTTCGGCCTGTGGTGGTGGGGGACATTGCGTTCTGCTACCATGGTGCCTCCTCCTCTTTCGTTTCTCATTTACAATTCTAATGAGAAAACGTGGAGAAAAAGAACAATATGGAATTTGAATATGGATTGAGTGCGAGAAAATTAAGAGGATTTTGACGGAAGATTCTTGATGAAATTAACAGAATGACGGAAAGTTTTTGTTAATAATGATTTGGAAAGGTGGGAGAGCAGTAAGGGAGCGTGTATAAATAGGAAGGGAAACAAAGATTGGTGGGTAGGGTTGGTGCCACGTGTTGGGATGATACGTGGTTGTTTTGTACCGGGAAACCGGGTGTGCCGGTAATTTAAAACGAAAAAGCTGAATTTGGTTGAGTCGCTGGATGGATTGGAGATTAATGGACGGGAAAATTGCAGCAGTTATCCTTCTGCTCAATCAATTTAAGTTATGGTTTTTTAATTAAAAATTTATAATTATTAGTTTCTTAATTTATTAAAACATGTTACTGTGATCATTTTCGTTAATTTTGTTATAATTTTCTTCAAAATGAGTCATGTGCCACACACACAAGACTGATCAAGGGGGTAAATATGAAAAACAAAATGAGAATAATTGTAACAATAATTTCTCTACTTTAACATAATTGGAGCAATTGTCTCTCAATTTAACTCAATTATAGCAGTGGTCTTTTCAACATGACTTATTTTGACGCAATTCTGATGAGGTTGACGTAAAAGATCATAGCTGAACATTTCAATGAGCTATGAGATCAATACTCATAAATTTTAGTTCATGAACCATTACTCAATTGGATTAGAATTTTTGGAGCAATTGATATGATTTTCTCTTAATGGAGAATAATGTTCACACGTTTTTATTGGAGGAAACACGAAGCGGTTTTCTTAGCATGCGTGTGGATTGTTGTTACAATTTGTATGCCGCTGTGGAAGCGTTTTCATACTCGGAGGTTTGACTTGACTTTCGAGTTGGTCAAGGATTTACGTTTCTTGGGTTAACACGACATCGTTTCTTTATGTTTCGTAAGTGAGGCTTTTCTGTGCATGCACATGCAAATTGTTTTTCATATATTATGGACGATAAAATAATTTAATTTTCTTAGCAGTAAATAGCGTTAAATTAAGTTTGAATATTCGCTAAAATTAGCGTAGGGCTTAGTGTTTTATTTGTTCACAACTTGTGCCAATTTCCACTGCGATCAGATGCTTAATTATTGCTTCCTTCACTTGGATGGCCAAAGGCGATTTAGTGGCAAACAAGAAATTAGCGAAAACAACTTCGAAAGATCGTGTCCCAATGTATAAGGATCTGTTAGCTGGATTTCATTATATATATATATTGAGTCTACTGTGCAAATTAGGTAAACGCAAACATTTTATTGTGGTTCCACATATTTCACGTTTAATTTTTAGAGTTTGGGGTCAAATTCTGTGTTAAAGTATGAATTCTTATATATATGCTTTGTTCTTAAATTACTTGTCTCCTACTACAACAATAACAAAGCTAGTAGATTAGCCAACCAGCTTCCAGTGTTATGGCACTCAGTTTCCACTGTGTTATGTTTAGAGAAAGCGATGTCATAATGCTATTGAATTAAAAACAAAGAAACAATTATTGAGAAGAGTTCCCAAAGCAAACTTTTTTGAAAACTAAAAACGGAAAACAATTACCAAAAGTTTATTATAGTTTCCAATAAAATGAACAAAAGTTATAAACGTAAAACAAAATAGTTATCAATCCACTCCCAATAAAATGATAAAGAATGTGAGAAAAAGAGAGTTCCTAAGAGCAGCTCCAGCCCAACCCTAACCACCAAGGCACAATTATTGCCTAAGAATTGAAAAAAGATGCTTTAGCCCAGCCCTAACAGTAAGGAAATCAGTGTGTTCATTTGTGCTGGACTACCCAATCAGGTAATTGTTGCCCCGACCTCGAGGAAGAAAAGAGTGCGAGTCTTGAGTCTAATGGGAGCCATGGGAGCCTGGGAGTTTGGGAGACGGGGAGAAAGCAAGCCTTATCCATTAATAGGAGATCAAGCGGTTAAGATTTAATCAAATGGTAGGAATCAATGGTTTGGGCCAAGGGCCCGTTTTCTCAAATTCTTGGATCCGCCCCGCCCTGCTATTTGCCCACCCTGCCCCAAATCGCATGGATCCGCCCCGACCTGCGAGTCTAAGACCCTTTTGCCCACCTCTAGAGTGAGAGCCTCTTTGTTTGGGTATTGAAGGAGAGAGAATATAAATATTATTTTTTTATTAATTTAAAAGGGAATTGTTATTGATATTCTAAAATTCTTATTTGACATTCTAAACTTTCTATTTCTCTAAACTGTCGAAAAAAAAAAAAAAAAAAAAAAAAAAAAAAAAAAAAAAAAAAAAAACCTGATAAAGCACATGACGAATAATACACAATTTTTGTTTGTTTTGTTCAAAGTCATACAGGTTGGTGAACAATTTACATGTTTGGTTCCTATAAAGCTTCAAAACCCTAATTGCGTTTTGCCTCACTCACTCTACATTTACAGAACCGTAGCGCGCCAAAACCGCTCATGGTTAACCTTTAAAACGTGCCGATTTGTCAACGGCTCCATGAAAATGGGCCGCCACCTGTTAACCGAAATATAGGTGAGAGGGTGACAACAACGGGACCCCAATAAAGCAATCGGCTAGCAGCCACGTAACAGTTAATCAGCACACCCAAAGACCAAAAACGTTGCACCTAAAATAAACTAGAATTATTTGTCGTGTATTTCCACGTAATTAGTAAAACATTAGGTGCCAATTGGCCTAATTTTTAGGGCGACACGAGTCCGTGGTATTAGGTCATGGTTTGTAAGCATGACGGATTGTAGAAGCCATATGTCAACTAGGTTTAGTTTGCCATGAAAGAGGTGGGATTCCAATTGTTTCGTTTACCTTTACATATATAGGTCGATCCACTCAATCAATCAGAAACAATATTGATAATACTTTAATTTTCCTTTTGTTTTGTTGAAGGGAATGACATGTTTCATTTACAAAAAGGAAATTAAATTCATACATTCGAAGAACATAACAAGAGGAAGATAGATATAAACAAAGGTTTGAAACTACAAAATAATAATTACGAATGTCATAGGACCGGGTTGAAAGAGACGAACAATCCAGTACTGCAAGAACTATACTAATTGATTACGTAAAACTTCATTTTGGTGCACAATTTTTATAGAGTCTAATTACATACATGTCGTGAGAACATGTGTTATTTTTTATTCAAACAAAGAGATTATACCTGCAAGATAAGTAATTAACTTGTATGATATTGCAAGACAAATATCATAATAATTGCTTCCAATAAAGCTACATTGTAGTTCGATCCACATACCAAACTATATTTTGTCTTAAATGTTGGGAAGAAAATTATCTAGTTAATAATTTAGATTATCCTCATTTGTGTTGTAGGTTTAGTCAACAGAGTGAGCTGATACAAGCAAAACATACTCACTGCGTCACCAAAATCTTAAGTTTAAACTTTTATTGCTCAAGTAATGTACACGTAGATCATTTGGTTCTTGGTGGGAAAAGAAAAGACGACTCGTTGCTTGTCTTTGTTCAATGAACTTTAAAATGGATAGCAGGCAAGAATATATATCTATATATATATATATATATATATATATATATAGATATATAGACACACACACACACACATATATATGTTTTTTTCAAAAAAAAAAAAACAAAAAATGAACTAGTTGGTAGCTTCATCACCACAGTCTACTTTTTTGGGAGTCGGAAAAACTCAAAGAGACATTTTCAACTTTCCCTGGTCACCATCATGCAATTCACTAGCGTCAAGAATCAAACTCAGGACGTGCCGTGTGAAATACGGGTTTAAAATTCATCTTGGACCATCCCGTGCTGGTTTTATATATATATATATATATATATATATATATATATTGTTTATATTTAAAAAAAATTGAGCAATAATTTTACTTCACTGCCGACTTTCTAGGGCTCTCATCCAAAAGTCCCAAAATGGCATTAAGGTCGGCTGCATGCACGTAATAATATATACACGTAACTTCTATTAGGCCCAGCAAACGGTGCAATATTTCACTTATTTAATTTTCGTGAAATGTTTAGACTCTAGATATTTTATACATTGTAATATTATTGAATACCTCATCAACCTGCATGTTGCAGTGAAGAGATTTTTCAATGTGTGTGAAACATGAGATTATACATTACGTATCATAATATAAGTGAAAAAAATATTGAAAAGTTTATTATTTCTGTACGTATATTATAACATATGATACCAACTTATATTCCGACTAAATGAAAAAATCTTTCGTTGCAATGTCAAATGCACAATACTTTTTAGTGTGGAAAAAAATTGATAGCACCTCCTTGAGCAGACTAACATATGGGTAATGCTAGAGAGACCGAATTTTTTAACTAAATTTTGTAAACCAAATGATATGTTGGTTCATGATTGGATTATTAATTAAGTATCAATTAACATGTTTATTTTCTATTGGTGATACATAATTTGATTTGTAAATTTAATCTCCCTAACGTTATCTCTAACATAAATGTCAATTATAGGAGAAAAGCAATTGATTAGGGACCAATTTTAAACTTTATCACTTGTCATGGGAGCACACTCACATAGCTACAGTGAATTTAAAGTATACTTATTAGGTTGATAAATTGATCCCACGAAAATGCAACTCTCCCTTATATTAGATTTTACAATTGTCAATATTTTTTATTCGTGAATATAATTGGACAGGTTTTGTACATTATTGGTCACTCGTCTTGTATTATTGAGAAGAATGCTGTTATGTGATTTGTTGTTGGAATAGATGTTTTATTCAGAAGATACAATTCAACGTGAACATCGATCCGAAACAAAAATTCCATCGTATCACTAAGAAAAAAAAGAAACATAGTAAGTGGTTGTGTTGTTGGAACCTGGACTGTTGGTGCCAATCTTTCTTCTAATTTCAATAGGGTTTTTGCTCTTTCTTTGTAAAATTTTCTTTACCTTTTTGTTTATACGCAACTATGGCTTTCACATGTAAAGATCATTCATGATCCAAACTTCTATTTCCATAAATTATTTATTTAGAGTATATCTAACGAAAGATGCAAAAATGTGTTCAATTGAAATTTTACATTTTTAATTAGCTGAAAAACACTCTAATAATGAAAAGATGCAAAATATTCA